GCAGGAATGATTAAGCTTAACAGGATGCCAATAAGACAAGCAAAACTTGCTGCTTTCATGACGGTAGATTTTTTAGGACCTGTGAATCCTTTTAAAATTGCAGCATGATCTATACATGCGTATAAGAACACCTGAACTACTTAGAAGTGACAGGGTTAGATCAATAACTACCTCGTTATTTCTGCAGTATGCTTTACTACTTCTGGAAGTTAAATCCAGTGAGATTATTCTACAGATTTGAGCGCTGATCAGTATGTTATAAAGATGTGTACTTATATATTACTTGTTTGTTTTGCAGCTCCTGGTTGCTAAATCCCCCGTTGCTCCATTCTCTGCTTTTTTCTACACCATTGAGAAATCAGGCTTGGTTCTTCAAGGTAAGACTGGAACATTGATTGTTTTGCTTTTGCAATTAGTATTTTAAACAGGCTGAATGCAGATAACAGTAACTATTGTTGAAAATGGTGCTGTTTATACCTAATTAAAACCCCACACATTTAAACAGTCTGGTTGACAAGGGCAGCCTTCTGCTGTGTTCACTGTTTTGTCTTGGATTAAACTAAATTAGTTGTTGCATATTCCCATGGATCTAAGAATGGGCCTTGTAATTATTAATCAGGGCTCCCTGTTTTCCTTCAAGGTAAAGCAGAATGGTTCTGGCAACATTGCTCCTGTGGGATAGGTTTCTCCAGGAGAAACATACCCATCTATCATTAATAATATGCTCTAATAAATGGTTCTTCTTTAGAAAATGGCTTGACATCAATAAAAATACAGGAAATTAATATCTGTTCTCTATTTTTGTGATCATTTTAATGCTAATTCCTCATGGTCTTAAATAATCCTCAAATTCTCTAAGATATGAGGTAGTGTACTGAAAAGCTGGATATTACTCCCATGATGGCAGGGAACTAGGGTTCCTTGTGGTCATGTCCTAAATCACGCACTTTCAGACCACAGCAAAAAGGGAAGTTCAGCTTTTCCCTTCTTTTCCCCATTTATCCCAATAAATCTTCCCTTAATGTCCTTACTTTTTGACTTTTTGATTCATAGATCAATTTTGTTGAGTTGCTCTCTGTTGATATGCAGCCTGGCTCCTGATTGCTGCATCAGGTTAGCAGACTAAATAAAACTAGTCAGTGCCTGTCACTTTTTGTTCAGAGGATACGCTCTGATATGCAGCCATGGCATTAAGAAAAGCGCGTATCGCTGTTTCTCAGGTTCCAGTGATAGAGAATCACTGATCCCATAAAGCACTATGAACATTTTAAGGTATGTGAACAGTTCTCTTCCTTCTGATTGCCCATTTCTCACCTTTAAACAGGCTGTGCCAGACCAACGACTTATTTACATTTACTAATGACTAAATACGCTTGCATCTCTGGTGATACATAATGTAGGAAAACAAAAGAAACAAAAATGTTTTACGGTGCATTTTTGCTTCCATTTGATACATCCACATAATGAGAATGTGGGGGTCCGTCTGGTGTTTCCTAAGCCTTTGGATATTACACCCAGTGTATTGTTAGATGGCATTTTGGGAATTTGATCTGCTTTATTTCATACCAGTAATTTTAAAAAGGCTACAGGAACAAGAAACAATTTTTATTAGTTTAAACTGAGATGGCTTGCAAGAGTTGGTCTAGACATGTTGATTCAGTATAGGGCAGAAGACAAGCTGTTTTTCTATCTCAAATATCTTCTGATTTGCAGAGATGTTTCTGGTCATTATAAAAAAAGGCGGACAGTTTCCTGCTCTGTCCTCAGACCCTAATGTAGTGAAACTTTGGGAAAGAAAGATTTCCCATTTCAGAAATGGGAAGCATTTTTTCAGAGAGGATCTTTATTTGTTTCAGTTCTTTTCTGTGAGCCAGGAATATAGATTTCCAAGGACTGAACCCTACCTTTAAAGAACAAATGGGCCTGGTAACATGTAATGATGAGGGAGCAGGACTCTCTGCTAGAAGGATAGCACTGTATTAGGTGTATGGCAATTGCTCTTTTCCCTGTATCCATATGTTTCTGGGGTGCACATTTAAAACATCATTCACCATTTTTCTAAAAACAGTTGAGATACCAGTTTGGATTTCTCTAAGTAAATGCTGTCTCGATATCAGGCATTCTTTGTACATTTTGGAAGGCAGCTTGAAGCTCTTCTTTGTGTGAACCTTTTCTTACTTTCTGACTACACCATTATGTTTCTAATATTTTAGATATTTTTCTCCAAGATGAGTAGTAACCAAGGGCATGGTTCCCCTGATAATGTGCCCCAGACTATTTTACAGAGACTCGTAAGCACTTACACATGACCCATCTCACTGAGTTTACAAAGTAAATATCGCGCGTTCTTATCCCATATTTCAATGATCATTATTTCTGTGGAAAGAGGGAGCGAGCAAACCACCTGGAAATGACTGTTTTGGGTAAGATGCAGAAAGTGGCACCAGGCTGCCTCGCACAAGAGAGGCTAGAGTTTTTATGAGAGTTGTAGCTGGTGCTTCTTTCCAAAGGGAAGCTGGACACAAGGTAAGATGTCAGTATGGCAACTGGCCACAGGTCAGCCGGTGAGGGAGCTGCGTTGCTCCTTGAGGGACATCATATAGCGCTAACAAGTGGATTCCGTCCTGCAGCCTGATTGCAAAGGCAGCTTTCCCATTCAGGCTTTATTGTTTAATTCAGTTGGTGTCAGGAGGTGAGCACATTCAGGGTGGCTGATGGGAACAAGTGGATGGGTGTGGGAACTGGCAAGAAGCAGCAGCTGGCTGAAATGCCCGGGATTCTTTCTTCTTACTCAGGGGGTCCCATCCCGGGACCATTAACCAATAGGCCATAAACAAATTGATATCGGAAAATGTGGCTAGAAACTCCTTGATTAGTGAGGGTGAATGGGGAATGAAAGACAAAGTGAAAGTGTGATTTAACAGTTCCACAAGCAATTTCCATTGCCACCTCTGAGGGATTAGGATGTGTGGAATAGGCTAAAAATGAGGAGGAGCTCCCCCCCGCTTTTGTTCTGTGGGCCGAAGGATAATAAAACGGCAGGAGAGGCAGTGCGGCTAGTTAGGGATTTCACAGGCTGCTATTTGATGCAGTTTAAGGAGCCCTTCTGCTATTGTTGCAGTTAAAATGGGAAGCGGAACTATTCTCCATTCGCAAAAATCTCCAGCGTCCTCAGGAAGAGGGCTGAGAGCAAAAGGCTATTAAGATGGTAATGCTGCCCCATTTGGAGGAGTGTATCAAAATCCTCTTTGTCAATGTAAATCGCTGCTCTGTTTCCCTGGTATCTTTGCATCTCATGGCCTCAGTGCAAGCACAGAAGTGTCCGAAGGAGACCCTAGTGAAGGCAGAACTGCTTCTCTTACATAGTCAGAGGAGAGCACCAGGCTGCCCAAGGGTGCCACGGAGAAAAATTCCTTTGATTTATAAACTTGAAGTGGTCAGGGATGAAAAGAATCCAGTTATTCGCTCATTCTTTTATTTTCACTTGCAGACTAGAGAAATGAAATTTGATGATTGGAAAGCAAGATTGGCCAGTCAGAGATTTAGCAAGTCAGCCTTCAGTCTCCTCCTTTCATTGCTTCAGTATCCTCTGTGCTGTGGAGGGGGTGGAGTGCGGGCCCCAAAAAAGCCTCTGTTGCCTTTACATTGCAATACAATGTCATGTAATGTACTGCCATGCTGTACAGCGTGACTCTATGATGAACCTGAATTGTGATTGTGAAATCCAGTCTGACAGCAGATCTCTATTTTGTGGAGATCTTAAACAGGGAGGCAGAAGCCTGGATCTAAGCACCACAAAATATTGGAAGTTTTACTGTCTGCTTGTGTATTCTGTTTAAGGACTTGCTGTTGCTTCCCTAATTCAACATACTAGTTAAAATGAATGAAGTGATACTGTCAAAAAGAATAACAGTAAAAAAGCTCCAGATCTACTTGATAAAGGGTGCAAATCACAAGATGATTTTCCTCACTGGCAGTGGTATAATTTCTGTTTTGGATTGGAAATTAGCTGGTAATTCTGTTCCTGGTGTATCAGTCAGAACAGATTCTGGGCTGTTCTTGCCTGGTTGTAGTTTCATTGAAGCTGAATGTAGGTCGGCTGGACTAGAAGATGCCACTTAGCCATGCACGTACATATCCAAAAAGAAGATTGGCTGAATAAGCTGATGTCAGTGTTAAGCTGTATTTTGTGGGCAATCGTCCGAGTCTAGCTTTAGAAGCAGCAGCATTCTGGGGCATAAATAGCTAGCAACAGAGCCTAGCTATTAGCAACTGGTAGCTCGGCTGTCTGTGAAAGTAAGTCTCCTTCCATCTTACCTAAGTAAATGCCCTCTGTTACCAAGAGCATGGTGCTGCAAAAGAAGACAGGGGACATGGTGGCTGGTTGCCAACTGGAGAGTCTATTGGGACTTTTCGATGAATGCTTTAACCAAGAAATTAGTGTTGCTGTTCACTGAAAGAGCTCAGAAGCACTGAAAACATAAGGCAAGTAATACTAGTGAGCTAGGACTTGCTTTTGAGCAATGATTTATTTTCAGTGTCATAGGGTTTAAAGATGGGTGGATTCAGCAGTTCATCCAGACTGACCTCCCATATATCTTACGTGTTTCCTTCAGGTACCTGATAACTTATGTTACACTGAATTATGTCTTCTAGAAAGGCATTCGCTTTTATTTGAAGACATCAAGAAATGTGAGTTCCTGGTTTGCCTTGACAGTGTTTTCAAGTTTTAGCTACCTTGCTGCTAAATACTTGTTCTGTATTTCACATTAGAATTTGTCTGCCTTCAGCTTTTGACCTCAGTTGTTGTTATGACCTTCAGTGCTAAATAAAGCACTGTTGCCATTAAATGGTTGCCATTTTGCATGAGTGTACTTGACATTAAGATTCATCCTGCTATGTTTTATTCTTCCTTTTGAAAGAAAGTTATAACTATCTGCAAATTTAACCTCAAAACTTTTGTGTCTCATGCTGACTGGCTCCCCTCACTACCCAAAGGACAGAATACCTTGTATTGCTAAAGGGCAGAGTTTGATTTTTGTGCCAGCAGGACTGGATGATTAGTTAGTTGATCAATCCACCCTTTCTCCTGCCCTCTTTTCCACTGCATACGTGTCTGTGAGCACACAGCCACACTCACCTTGCCTGTAATGTCTTATTGAGGCAGGTAACTTCTGAGAAGAAGAAACAAAAGGTATGTGGCACTCGGAAGTGTCTTAGGTTTTAAGTTTCACAGTACTAAGAGGAAAAGGATCTAGGAACAGCTAAATCTTGGGGAACCTTGGTACATTATGTTTCATTTGTCACTAATGTAATGAAAGAGGCTAATTTTTATCTCAAAATAGCATAGGGTCTGGGCTTGTAGTGCAGCATGGCA